GTTTATAAGCTAACGTTCTAATTTCCAGAATCATTATTTACAAGTACAGAGGAACAACAATTTTATGCTAAACGACACATGTTACGCATAATATAGTTTTGGTGAAAACACAAGTGCAGATAAGTTTCTTCCTTGTGTGGATAAAGCAATCCAATATGGCCATATCTGCCTGCTGAAAGTAAAGCTGCTTATTGGGGAATGTTGTTGAGATGTTGTTTGGATTCTGTTTCTTTGCTAGTCTTAATCAAGCATTATACTTCAGAGCTGAAGTCTGATGTGATTTTAAATTGATAGTCTCAAAGTAATTCTGTTTCAGGTTCGAGATCTTGATTTTGGGATAAAGGTAATTGGTTCTGACATAGTACGAGAGCATGATGGCCTTGCAATGAGTTCCCGCAATGTGAAACTTTCGCCTGAGGACAGACAAAAGGTGCTTCTTCTATTATTAGTATCTCTTAGCATGATGAAGGAACATGAATTATGGCAAACATTAGCTTATTCAGAATCAAGATGTATGGGACAATGCATACGCAAAAACTGATTTCTTGCTAAGGCTCTCTCATTATTATTGTCTGGCATTTGTGCTAATTGAAATTTTTTTGCTTTTTATACTATTCCACAGGCTTTGTCTATTAGCCGAGCACTGTCTAAAGCCAAAGTTGAGGCAGGAAAGGGACAGGTCAACTGCGGAGAGCTGATAAATTCAGCTATTCAAATCATAGATGAAGCCGATGGAAGGGTTGATTATGCTGAAGTGAGAACTTACATAATAATAATAACTTTCATATGGATATAAACAATAGAATACCAACTGGGAACTCAATCACTTTAGGAAGAATGGTATGATCTTGACAATTGTGCTTTCAATGTCCTCTAGCTGTAAGTTATATTTGCCAATCGGAAAATACACGAGTACTATTGACTTGTCAAGACGTGTGACCATAAAGCTCTCCAATTGCCTTTCCACCACTGAAATTCCAATGACATAAAAGTCATACTACTGTTTCCTTTACCCTCCTCTTAAACTAGTAGATATATAAAGCAATATTTTGCATGGTTAGCGTCTCAGAAGCGTATCTGTGCAGTGTTCCATAATGTTTTCACTTAGCAACATAAAAAGGTTATGAATACAAAAAAAGTTGTTTCCAAATCATTTCTTGGTCTGGTTATCTTGTTTACCTCATTGCTGACACCTTCTCTGCATCAGATTGTGGAGCAAGAAAGTTTAGAGCCGGTGGAAACAATCAAGAGACCAGTTGTATTCTGTGTAGCAGCATGGTTTGGAAAGGTCAGGCTCGTTGACAACATGGAAATAAATATATGAGATGGAGCCACCAAAAATATATACGATAACCAAATATATAAAAACTGAGGTGAAGTACTAGTCCCTGGTTTGCAAGAAGCTTTGCAGTTTGTAAAAGCCATCTAAAAATGACTTTTCTCAAAGTGGAAGAATCATCTTTCCAGCTGCAAGTAAAATATGGAGCAATTAGCTAGTCTTTTCATACTGCTCTACTATTGTCTTGGTTTTTTTTTTGACGATGAGAACCAGAACCATCATTTACTGATTCTTCGACAAGTCTGATCACCTCCTGTCCTCGGCTATAAAATCATTTCTTCGGTCTGATCTTCGCTCTAGAATTCTGTCCGGGCACCTTTCCACAATACAAGATGGTTCATACAAGGGAAAAGGGCCAAGTATACCCCTTTACTTTCATTTACCTCTGTTATATTATCTGGCCAAATTTACCACACCGTTATACTATCCGGTCAAATTTAACCCTATCATCAGCAAACTTTTAAAAATTACCCCTTAGTCCGTCAGGTGACCCAAAATCTCCCAAATTATTTTAATTAAGTCACTTTTTTTTTCGATCCACTATTTTCGAATTAATTAGTATTTACTTGCTTTCTTTATTGGAAAAAAAATAAGAGAAGAAATATTAAAATAATAAAACGGTAAGTAAACAAAGTATAGTAAATTGAAGAATCTAAATTAGGTAGTTTGTCTAAATTTCATAAGTATTTACAACATCCCACGTGAATTCGTTACACCAAAGGTATGAAGATTTTGCAAGTATTAGTGATAGAAGTTGAAGTTTCTTGGAAACTTTACATTCTCGAATTCAACTTTGCTTTAATCAAATGTCTACGCATCGTGCTCTCTAAAGTTAGTCGATCGAACTCTATATTAACTAGACAATAACAAAATATGTTTGAATATATATGTACATGATGATCAGCTGCATCATGCATGTAATACACAATAAATAGACCTATTGAATTCTACTGTATGTATATGGTTGAAAAATAAATAAAATTTTAAACCAATTCCAAACTCATTATCACAAGAAGAGAAGTAGGTGCATTGGTAATTAAAAATATCCATGAATAATTTGTATAGTCTAGTACCTTTAGCATTCACATCAATAGTAATTTTTGAAAATAGTGAAGCAAGAACAACAACTCAACAAGTGATTTAAATAAAAGAAAATTGGGAAATTTTGGATTACTTAACAGATCAAGGGGTAATTTTTAAAAGTTTGTTGATAATAGGGGTAAATTTGGCCGGATAGTATAACAGTAGGAGTAAATTTGACCGGATAATATAACGGAGGTTGTATGTAGACGACATCAAGTAGAATGGTATATTTGACCTTTTTCACTTCAACACAATCATGCTCAGGGATAGAGGAATAAGCCCACAAGATATTGCTATCTCAATCAAAACAAGCCAGAAATATCATTAAAAGGCTTTCGAATTCTCAACACACTCGACAGAAGCATATTTACGGCCACACAAAAACCAACAAAATATAGAAGAAACATGATGAAATCACACAGTGAATTTAATATTTATCACAAGCGGACCTCGCATAATCCTTTAAAATTTAAGTGGACTATTATTAACTTTCCCTGCAAAACAGCTTTTAAAAGTCCAATCATAGCACAAGATTTAAACTAGTACACATATAAGGAGCCCCACAGAAAAAATGACAGCATAATAATGAAGCCGTTCAAATAGAGAGGAGGAAAAGAAAGACGCAGTACACATTATTTCTCCTCTGGTTCCTTCGTTTCAGTCTTTTTCCATCCAATTCAGAACCAACAAAATCAAGAATCACTATGTGACCTGGTGAACGAGGGAGACTCATTCAATAGTATACTCAAAAGAATTCAGCATTACAAGCTATACAGGCAGTGTCTCATGATACAGAGCATAGAACAAAAGATGTCACAACAAAAGAAAAAAAGAATTATAAGGAACTGACATGCCACTGCTACAAAGATTAAGTGTCACAATTTTCAATCAACATCCAGCCTAGTAAGGATGAGGAACCACACTAATGACAATTGAAACCACCACATACTGACAAAACTATGATCAGAATCAAGGCAATAATAATTCCCAAGACTATAAGCTTGATTTTCATGTTCTGCAACCACATCTTCCTCCTCATTGTTGTTCCTTGTGTCCTGAAATCTTGTGCCTGCAACAAGACAAAAATTTCACTTGAATATTTCATGCTCAGATGGAACAAAAAAAGAAAAACAATAACACCAGTGCAAGTTCAGAAAGAAGGTAAAGGAAAAAAGAAACAATTAGGTGTAATGATGTAACAACAGCTCACAGGGTCCAGCCCAGTGGAGCAAATAAACCATTACCAAGTTGCCTATAAAGTTAAGGGAAGGAGACCACTAGCCGTTGACCTAATGGATTGCACAGAAAGCATAGTTTAACTAAGCGATCCTCAAAACATAAAATGTAAAACAACATAGCCGAATGATTGCCTGACTGTAGTTGCCAGGCTACTGTTTGCTATTAATGGTCTGAGCTTAACCACTAGAACTTTCTTTTTCTTTTTTTCTTGTTAAAGGTAATTAACCACTAGAAATTTCTTGCAACAGAAAATATGCAGCTAAATCATTAGCATATCCTTCATATTCTAAGTAAATATATTCAAACCACTTTGAATTTGCTGAAACTAGTAGGCCATAGCATCTTGTCATGTGCTATCAATCAAACTAGGCAAAAAAGTTGATTTATGACTATAGCTTCTATTCATATATAACTGTGAGATTCATCCATCTACAGCTGAAGACTCAAATATTTCAGTAACGGGACATTGTATGGTCATTTATATACCTGTGAGCGAAGATTCTCAGTCTTATCCACCAAAAGTTCAATCTTCTCGCCACGATCAAGAACCTACAAGGACAAAGTTTCATCAGAAAACCAAATAAACTTACGGGTTCTAAATCTTCCAGGACAACGACAGAGATATGTCCTCTAAAACAGAATAATCCAATATGGAAGTCAATCTTCTCTACCTTTTCAATGTTTTCCATCATCACACCTTTAACTTCCGAAACCTGAGCCTTCACCTTTGCAAGCTTACTAATTTCCTCTGGATGGTCTACACAGTACTGCATTTGTTCCTTCAGTTTGGGCCTGTAAATTAATGTTTTGAATGAAGGCGTGAATCACTTTCAACACNAAAAAAAAAACCCCAATTGCAAGGATAGAGGTTGTGCATTTCAATTTGAAAAATGAAAAAAAAATAAACTTCAGCTTGAGTTTTATGGTGAAATGCACAGTACTTCATCTATATTGCTAAGTTGGTCATGTGTGCTTATTAATGCATTTTGCAAGCAAATAGACAAGCGCTTAAGGCCTGGAAACCTAGTCAGCAGATAACAATTACTATGGGTAAATCTAAAAGCAGTGTTTAGTCACTTTCACAATACAAAACAATCCCCTAAATGAGCAAAACAGACAGTTTACCGTCTAAATTAAGATATTATGAATAAAACGTACACTGTCATCAAATCTTGTCAAGCAGAAGACAGAAGCAACTATAAGCTATATTGAAGACACTAGCATGATACATACATAATGACAGACATACAAGAAATTTACACAAAAATGAGAGATCTTCCAAAAGAGTCCATATCTTATCCTCTGCTAATTACATGGAATATTCAACATCCCAATTAGGCATGCGTGATTTTTTAAGTGTTAATAGGTCATGAAATCAAACCGATCTAAAGCAAAGTTAAGCATTAACTAGACTAATTACCAATATAATATATTACTTATCAGTATTCTACGAAAATCTAGACTGCACAATTCAGAAATCAAACACAGCAACAGAAATGAAAGAGATCCAAAGCAAAATTATGCATTAGCTAAACTAATTACCACAAAATTAAATTACATTACTTATTACTATTAAACAGATATCTAGACTGACTATCCAAAAATGGGATACAGCAACAGAACAAGGAGAGCACCGAAAAAAGGGAAACGAAAATAAAAAAAAGATGTTAAAATAAGCAACGAAATGAATGAGATCCAACGAAAAAATTTTCATTAACTAAACTAATTACCACAAAATATTTAATTATTACTACTCAATATTCTATTAAGATCCAGATTACACTATTCCGAAATCAATCAAACGAAAATCCAAGGAAAACGAAATAGTCGCACAGCAAAAAAGGAACATAGATGCATGGATGCTTGAATCAGGAAAATCAATTAACAAAACTATCAGAAGTGAAAAGAGGGAAAATAACTCACTGAAGCCATCTTCGACGAGATAGTTGAAAGTATGGCCATCACAGTTATAGGTGAACTTGTTATTGGAAGCAGGAAGTTTCTGGAGGCACTGTGAGGCTATACTAGTGAAATTACCCGTAAACTCAGTGTATTCAGCGAGGATCACAGTTCCTCGCGCAACGAAGCTG